AAACAAAAAAAAGAGGAAAAATGTGAGAAAAATGCACAAAAGGTAGCGCTGGGTGTTGAACCTATGACCTCTAACATACATGCGCGCTACCTTTGCCACCCCACTTCACCATTTCTCAACAAAAATGAAATATGCAAACATGAAAGTTGCTTCATTTTTTCATACGAATCCAACCATGTAAATATCATAAGCTATAAATCAAAGATGAATGAGAATTTTTGAAAGTACCAAATTCTGACCTAATTATTTTAAGAGATTCAAACCTAAAATTCTCTAAGCTCAATCAATATAAATGAAATATATGGATATGTATAGTTTCAGGGCAATGGTGTCTATATTTTATCTTCACAAATGCAAGCCTAACAATGCCTAAATAAGAAGATAGAAGTTTAGAAAATGTACCTAAAAACTGGAAATCGTGAAATGAGTTTGAGCTTCTTTCAAGGAGTTATGATGATCAGATTAGCTTCCTCAAGTTCCCAGGAAGCTAATGCAATGCTTACTTGATGCTGAGAGTGTTTGAATCGTGTTAGAGAAGTCAAGGTGCAAGCTCCGTTTTTTGGTTATGGAAGTTGATGAAGATGATGTTACACTCGTGTAACCGAGTGTGGTATAATTTGTAGATGATGTTTAGGAACTTTTGGAAGTGAAAAGCCAAGAAACGCACAAGTGGATTCTGAGTTTGGAGTTTTTGGTCAGAATATGCAATAATGGTGGTTTGCTATGCAGTTCTGAGTTTGGGAGAGTTTGAGGGCTTGTGCATTCGTGTATCCTCTTGCAATAGACTTGTATAATTATAAGAAAAAGTTTAGAGCACTTGAGGTTGACAGATCTGTGAGATCTAGAGTTATGGCTATGTTACTTGATTTTGAAGAAAAGTGGAAAACATGGTTTCAAGGCATAGTACAAGCATGGCCCGAGTTTATGGGAGGCTCTAGACATTTTTCTTTTGCCTTTGACATTGTTTGTACTCAGATGAAACAAGTTAGGAACTCTATGCATTGACTTTTGCAATAAAGCTTGCTTTTCCAAAATGGAAGTGATACCTTTGTGCCATTAATGGAATAACCATTTGGACATTGCCTCAAATTCTTGGATCAAAGCTCTAACAGTTGTGTAAACATTTAATTATAGAGTGAAAAGCAATTTAGAAGCTTGCAAAGTGAGATTTGTACAACATGCTTGAATATTGGATCAAGTGTTCTTCACAAATTTGCCTTGCAAAACAAGAATGAAACCCTAACTTCATGGTTTCGATTCTCTTAGAACAAATATGATCTCAACAAGTTCTTGGACATTTTAGAAAGCTTGTAACATCCTCTATAACCTATATGTTGGAAATTTTTGAATATTCATCTTGGAACTATGTGAAAAATTTCCATGAAGTTAGGTCAAAATCCTGCCTAAACTAGGGCAAAATTTCACTAAGTTTTTCAAGTTTCATGAACATGTGTTCTTAAAATCATAACTTTAAATCCATACATTTTTAGAAAAGTTGTGTTCTACAATGTTTTATATCTCATTGATATCTACAACTTTCATATTATAACTTTCCTTTGAATCATCTTGCATCATGGTGAAAATTTGGCTCAAAGTTATGAAAAAAATGTGAATTTCCAACACTTAGAAAAATTTCTAAGTTTAGAAATTTTGACTTTTCAAAATGAAATCTTGACTTTTGATTTCTTGATGAACAAGTTTCATATTTTGACATGTCTTGATGAATTATAATCTTTGGTACTTGATTTTGACCAAAAAGTCAAAGTTTGACTTTTTAGTGTACAATTAACTTTTCATCAGTTGACTGAAATTCATCTATTAACCAATTGATCTTGAGGAATGTTTTGAGCCATGCCATTAGGTCAAAATGAAGTATTTGAAATCTTGAGATCATAACTTAAACCAATCAATCATTTGCTAGGTAAAAATCAGAATTTGCACCTTCTCAGTTAAAACCCTAATTTTGACCATTTTGCCTTTTTGATGATCTGATCAAATTTCTTGAGGAATTGTGATCCAAACTTGATAAAATTACATATATGAGTTCATAATGTTGATATGGACTAAAAATTATGAAGTTTGATTGTAAATTGACCACTTTTGACTTTTTCCCCAATATAGTTGATTTTAGGTCATCTGATCAATTGACTGAGCAAAAATGTGACCCAAGACTTGAAACTTGACATGAGCAATCTTCAGGGTCCAAAATGATCCATGAAAGTCATTTGAGGCATTAAAATTCCATTTGTCCTTGTGCAAACTCAAACCCTAATTTTTAGTCAGTGCTTGAGGAGGTGTCTTGAGCTGACTAAATCTTATGCAGTCTTGAAGCAATAGACATCTTGTGAGAGATTACTTGAGAAGTGAGAGGGAAAATTTTGGGGTACAACACCCACGTATGGTGTCAAGTGAGTATGGTCGAGCTGGAGAGTGGTGAACATATATGCATACATTATAAGACGGAGCTCCCTTGGACGACCAGAATTCGTCGGACGTCAAAGTTTACCATCATTACCCTTGCCAGTAAGGGGATGCTGGAGTTTGGTGCCCCACCTAACAATTCTCCGAGATAAAAAGTGATGGGGTCAGATACCCACTGCTTTCTTGAAATCGCTGCCAGGATGCAACCCTTTCTCGAGCAAGTACCTCTTCATGTGATCATCCGTAGGGACCTGGATGTCTTCTTAATTGAACATCTTGATGTACGCTCAGAGGGGTTCATCATTCCCCTGGATGATCACCTTGATTGCTGCTTCAGTCTCCAGGTGTCGTTGAGAGGAGCTGGAGTTTCTGGCAAATTGAGTCTTCAGATCCCTCTAGGAGGTGATCGACTCTGGGGAGAGGCTCTTATACCGCCATGACACATTTCCTCAGAGTCGTGGGAAACAGTCTGTAGTTGATAGTGCTCATGACATTGTGGTAGTTGAGCATCGCATCGAAGCTCTCAATGTGATTGTCGGGGTCTGTCTTCCCGTCACAGGTAGCAAAATGTGGTGGTTTCTCCATCCCGACGGGGAGTGGGGTCTCCATAATCGCTCGAGAAAATGGATCGCGAGAGTCATCTTCGTCACTTCGGTCTGGTGAGCGCGATAGGGAGGAATCGAATTGAGGGTCTTTATGGCGCAATGAATTTCTTGGTCGACTCTTTTTCTTTTCTGGATGCCCGTCGACCTTGTTTCTCTTGGGAACTAGGGATCTTCGTTCCTTGCACGGTGGAGTGTGATTGCGCTTCTTGACGACTATGGGTTACAGTCTCTCTAGTCGAGGGCCTCGCCTGATTCGATGAGGAGAGAGGCTCTGAGATTCATCCTGTTGATGTCTCTACGGGGGAGAACGTGAATGGGCACCTCCTCTTCGCAGGACGGGCTGCGAGATTCGGGTCCACAGCGTCTTCTCACGGGGGAGCGTGATCGTCGGCCCTTCTCTAACATTCCAATGCGCTTGTTCTGTTGGAAGGTCATGTAGTCGATTTGGTTGACGACCGCGAACATGGCCATTATGGTGGGGTCAGCATTGGGCGACACATGAATTTCTTGATACATTCCAGGCTCCTCAAATTGTTGGACGATGTTGTTGGCCGCACTGTGAGACGAGGCATAGGTGGTTAGTTTGTCTCGGGGGTCACCTTGCTCGTGACTGACACTTTCATTAATGTTAAGGTTGCCACCATTAGTGGAGATGGGGATAATAGTCTCGTTGGTGTTACCGTTGTTGTGTTGGCTGACCATGATGATCAGTAGGTGTTGATGAACTTTCTTTGGTCCTTAGGTTTAGAAAAAGATGGGAAAGTAGGAGGTCCCCATAGTCAGCGCCAATGATCTTACCTGGATCAGAAGGATCTTCAGTGGCCTGCAACACTTGGACTTCTACGGTTGTTGAAGTGAATGGGGGGATGTACCTGCAAGGTACTCCGATGCCAAAGTAAAGTTCAGAGTAAAGAAAGGCAAGTATAGAGTGTAAGTGTGTAGAATTGAGTACTCGACCCTCTGGTGAAAGAGAGTATTAGCATTGGGGCAAGGTCCTCATTTTGGGTCAGATGCCCAAACCCATAATGAAGACTGCCAGGATTCTACGTAGATAGAGGAGACCAGTTTGTGATTTCTATACTGATTCAACTGCCCCGTGATTCTTGGAGGTTGGAATACTCGCTCTTTTGGGGGGTAGGATGACTCCACGATATTCGGAGGAACGTTGGCCACATATCCTTGGTGGGCACGTGGAGGATACGTCCTCGACATGCACATGGATGAGACGTTCTCGACGGGAACGTCTGGGAGACGCTTTCCAACGGTCATAGTAATTTGGACCATTGTAATTGACCTTTCTCGCAACAGAGTTGGGCTAGGCCTTGCCCGACGACAGACTAAGCGCAGACATAGTCAAGAATAAAAAAAAAAGTTCAATTTTTATTTGTTTGAAGTTATAAATATTATCTTATTTTTTAGTAATTATTTAATTATAAAATATATTTTTCTATATATAAATTTATATATCGATGCAACTTCGATTCGACCCCGATCAAACCTTTAAACCTCACATTTATATTTATATCGATTTAAAGTCCAGTCTGATTATGATTACCTTGTATCCTCTTCATCTCAAAATAATAGTCTTTTAAAATTGTGACACACAAATTAAAAAAAATAACTAGTAAAAAAATAAATATAATATATTTACAAAATTGTTTTTAATAATTATTTATTACTTTTATATTGCCATAAAAGTAAAGTAAAATTTAATACGTTGAAAGTACTGCTGACATAATTAATTAGAAATAAAATTAATAAAAATTAATTATTATTATATTAAAAAAATAAAAAAATAAAAAAACACTTATTTTGAAACAATTTTTTATAGTCAAAAAGCATAGTAGTTATTTTGAGAGAGAGTAATTATTATTCACATAAAAATAGAATTAAAAAATATATTATAGACACATTAAGATATGTTTCTAAGAAAAGATGACGATAGGATAGAAAAAGCAGTGAAGGTTATTAGCAATGGCACTGTCATCATCATCATCATCGTCACAACCGTTGCCATTAACACTTCCTTCGATTTCATCTTCACAATCACATTCTCTTCCAACTTTTCGCTACTATCCTCCTCACTCTCACTCCTTCCTTAGCATCGGAACACAGTTCACGAAGCTTACCACCACTTACCGACGAACATCAACCGTACTTTCTTCCGTCGTTGCCTCTGTTGGGAATGAAGATGCTGAGCTACGTGTCTCCTCTACACAACAACTGGATGATGATGATGATGATGAGGAGGAGGAGGAGGAGGAGGAGGAGGGTGAAGAACCAACCGCTCAAGACCTTGAATATGTTGCACAAATCAAAAGGGTAAATTTACTTCTTTTTTTTCTCAATATTTTTTATTTATTTTTTCATTTCTTAATGGATTTTGATGCCCTATTGTAGGTTTTGGAGCTGCTTAGAAAAAACCGGGACATGCTATTTGGAGAGGTATACTCTTTTTTTCAGTTTTCGGTATTTTTTATTTTTATTTTTTAATATTTTTTCCAATTTTACTTTTCTATTTAATGGAAGAGAGAATTTCATCGAACTGCTGTAAGATTGACGATGTTGGACTGTGGAAAACCAACACAATAATAAATTAAAAATGTAGTAGAAATTAAGATGTTGCATTGGATGCGTGGTAAAACTAGACATGATAGGATTAAGAATAACATCATTAGAGAGAGTTGGGATAACACATATCCTTAAAAAGATGGTAGAAACTCGACGCGGTTTGGACGTGTGAAAGAAGACCTATAGATTCAGTAATAAGGAGAGTAGATTAGATGGAGGATAGTCAAATCACTAAAACCAGAAGAAGGCTTAGTAAAATTATAAGAGAAACGATTAACGAATATCAAAGATTTACTCTCTTTATCGTTCAATCTACAAGCCTTACTCATACATATCCAAGCCACGTATGCTGACATTCAACTGTCTTTTCTAAAATAGGTGCTACCCCAACTCTCTCGCCAATGTTAACCATCCTAATCCTATTTTGTCTAGAATTTCCTTTCATTCAGTGCAACATTGTCATCTTTGCTACATTGAATTTATTCTCGTGTTGCGCTTTACATCCTATTTTGTCTCTGTTGTTTTGAACAATTACCTAACATATTTAAACTGTTCGACTTGTGAGTCACTTTTCTTTTGCATCACTTACATTTCATATACTTTGTCTTACTTCCACTCAAATGGATGCCATGTGCTTCTAAACCTAGTCTTTAATCTTCTATTTATTTCCTCTCTTGACTCACTAAGCAAGACTATTTCCTCATTAAAAAGCATGCATCTCGACTCACTAGGCAAGACTATTTCATCATTAAAAAGCACACATCTCGAAGTCAGCTCTTGAATGTGCTATATAAGTACATCCAACACTAAGGTGAAAACATAGGGGCATAAAATTGAGACTTGAGGCAAATCCTATTGTTATTACTGCTAATTATATAGCTACAAACGTTTAATTGGCTAACACTTTGTTTATATAATTTTTAGGATAGCATAATATAATTTAAAAGTTGGATTGATTAAATTCACATTCTACTAGACGTCATCGAAGGTGTAATTATACTAATTATATATTTCCATCAAGCTTTTAAAATAAGCTTCAGTTTTTACTTTGTGCATTTGTTCTTGCTCACTACACAAGTGCATCTCTCAATTGTGTTGTCTTTGCCCATGTTGTTCTAATGCTTCTTTCATCCTATTTCCAGGTCAAACTAACCATAATGATTGAGGATCCTCGGGATATTGAGAGAAAACGATTACTCGGTATTGAAGATCTTGATGGCCCAACACGAGATGATCTAGTTACCGCTTTGGAAGAAGTAAGTTTTTTCTTCTATAGCGCTGATTATCTAAATTGTGCTTTTATTTGTAGAAGCATAAACACTCTAACTTGTACCAGAACCTTTAAAGTTTATTTAAAATCTTGTTTGGGATGAACATTTGTCATCTTTTAAGGCAAAACCTTGTTGCACTATTGTCCAAACCTTCAACTTTTTAAACCTTTTGTGATAGTCTAACTAATGCTCTGTCTCACAATCCATTTTTTGTGTAATTGAACCAAACACAAGGAGTTGGATCAATATTTTTGTTTGACAAAACATTCTAAATAAATCTCTCCAATTGCAGCACATTCCATCCCACTTTCAGATTGCTAAAGTACCTTTCTGCTAGTTTATTGACTTTCTGTTAATCACTTTCGATAACTTTTAGCAGCCCTTCTACGTGCTTCTAAAGCCAAATTGAACGTAGTAATAGAGTAATCCACAGTTCATTGTCTGAAAATCTGTTGTGGCATTGGCTTTTAAACTCAAGCTGATTTCAGATTAAAAAAAATATTTTGCATTTACTAGGTGAATGAAGGGAAAATTCCAAAGGATAAAGTTGTTTTGCAGATGCTTGCTGAGGAAATGAATGCATGGCCTAATTTAGAGGTATGGTTGAGTTTGGGCTTGTTTTTAATCTATGTTTCAGTGTGCATGATGTCTTGAACATGTGTGTGAGGTAGTTGATTGCATTGTGTTTCTACAGTCTGGCCTTTACTGTATCAGGTTCTTTGTATTGTTTTATAGAGGTACTATTTTTCATGTAGATAAAAACAGTAATAGTATTATAAGTTTGAACTTGTACTCGAACCGAACAAGTTTTTGTGTTTATGATACTAGTGTCTCTTTATATGCTTACCAATTTTATTAAGAGTTGTATTATTTTGACACAAATTTGACATATAGTTTTGACATCAACTTGGTTGGCTAACACAATTCAAGTATATTACACTCAGTAGTAAATGGTTAATGAATATATGAAGGTGACACATCCCAACCTGAACACAATTAGCATCAATTTTTAACGTCACTTTACCACAATTCAAGTGTATATTTGAACACAAATTGTGGTTAATGAATATGATGTATATTTGAACACAATTTGGATAATTAATGCTTGTAAACTTGAATATCAGAAAATTGTGGTTAATGATGTTTGAAACTGTGGTTAATTGTGTTCAGTAGATAGTTAATGAGTTGCAATACCTAATCGATTGAATTTGAATGTTTTCTTTTTATAATTTAAATTTCTCATATAAATAAATGGGGAAAAAGGTTTCTCGAAACAATACCCAACCAATTTGGAACACACAAGGAAGCATCCAAAATTTCAAAATCATGCAACGAAATAAAACCCAATAGTCTCTTCAATTATCAGCCTTAGAAGCAGTAGCAGCAGCTTGTCCCCTAAGACGAGCAGTTCTCTTAGCAGCAATGAAACAAAACATTATCTTACGGGACCTTTACGGTGGTGTGTGGGATTTGAAAATGTAGTTACTGGGCGTTTATACTTGAATTGAAGCTGCTTGTCTGTAGTATGAACACCACACCTCACTCATGTAAAATCCTATTTTACAGGGATTTACTACTGAATTTGATCACGCTCTTTCTAAAGTTGTTTAGTTTTTATCCATTGTCAATGTTAAGATTTTCTAATTTGTTTTATTATTTCTGACTTCCATTATTTTCCACCGATATAATGTATAACGCCGTATCAGTTGCTGCTATTTTTTTCTTCAAATGACTAGGTTGAAGCAACAAAGAAAAAGCCCAAAAAATCTCTATATGCAAAAACAACTGACACTGGAATTGATCCTGAAGTGGTTGCAAAGAGACTAAACATTGACTGGGATTCTGCTGCTGAAATTGAAGATGTGAATACTGTAGATGAAACAGAAGTGCCTTCAGTGTTGGTCAGTTCCTTACCTACCTTAATAGATTATTTTTGTGATTTAATTTTGTTTGGTTAACCACCATTAATATTGTTATGTAAGCCATGATACTGTAGTTTTACATTATAATCAATGAATTTGCTAGTCTATTTTCTGAGTTGTTAAAAAACTATTGGTGCAAAATAAGGAAGTTTTTTTTATTATTCTTTAGATAAATTTTCTTTTTCTTATCTTTTTTTGTCTCACCCTTTAAGCTTTTCATTGAGGAAGTTGTTTGTTATGCAGGGGTATGGAGCACTATACTTGGTTTCAGCTTTCCCTATTATTATAGGTGTTTCAGTAGTTTTGATTTTGTTCTACAATTCCCTCCAGTAGGAACTGGCATTGCACTCAAATTCAGTGTAATATTACTATATCGAAATGAGTTAGTAGTTTGTAATGATTGAACTCATGACCTCCAAATCCTTTTACCCTCCCCCAAAACGGGGAATTGAACTCTCCAAAAATCATAGTAAAAACCTGTATGTGGCTGCTGGGATTCGAGCCCAGGTCTCCACGGCCACAACGTGGAATTCTTACCACTAAACTACAGCCACTTTTGTTGTCCTTTAAGGTTGTTTAAACTATATTGAATGAACGTTTTAACAAGATCTTGTGAAAAAATGGAAATTTTAAACAACAACCTTTGTCATGTTGAAATTAGTTTCCATATAATGGATACTTGAATTTATAAGGAATATTTGGTAACTAAACTAATAAGAGTCTAATCCAAATGAAAGATCTCTGTCTAACTTCGTTACAAAACTTCATCTTTTCAAATAAAGTTTGTGAGGTGTATGTCATTTCAATGATAAAAGGTTTACTTTATAATTTAAAAGACCAGAGTTTAAAGAGTTTAAAATACGGTTGTAAAATAATAATTAGCATAAAATTAATTAATAATATTTCCTTAAAGAAATAAAATGCCATTGTTTTTTTGTTGATATTTTATTTTCTATCTTTTAAATTAATGTTGACAACAAATGTTCACTATAATTGTCTTTAGATTCTTTTGTATGCAACCATGACATGACCTATGGTTTTCCTCTTTATTTTTAAAAGAGAAGTGTGGTATATGCAAGCACGTTTGAACTTCAGTTTGTGACTAACTATATATATGATCTTTGCTTGTTTTTTTTTTTTGAAAAACTCCAGCAAAGATTCTCTTTAAGATATGGATGGAACATGCTAAACACACTTCACGTTCTATGCATTTTTTATACCAGTAGTGCAGCCACCAAGTCCAATTTCTCATACAAATATCCATGATATCAGAAATCATGGCTTACAAAAACTAGATAAAATGAACAAGGCATTGCAAATTTGCAAATGATATCTGAAAAGGATTTTCCTGTCTCAATTATGGAGAGCTTACAAAAAGAAAAGCAAATTATGGTAGATTCACTATCATCATTACAACTTTCAAAGCCAAAATTCATGAGTCTTAGTCTTCCGAATTCCGCGAACTCATCACCTTTGTTAACTTCAAAGAGAAAACCAAAAGGCGAGATTATAGAATCTCGACGTCAAGATAGTAACTTGACACTCAAGCAACAGTGTATGCTACAAGAATTCATCTTAAGAAAGAGCAAGTCATGCGGAGAACGAAGAGCAAGTTTATCACCCTTTGACGAATTCGATCACTGGTTAATCAAACCAAAAGCAGCGAAACATGACAACAATAATCATGAAAGCTTCTTCAAAAGCGAAGCTATCAAAGAAAGTTACGCAAGTGACAATGAGCTTGAAACAATTGCTGATAAAGGATTCAAATGCAGTGCTCTTTGCATGTATCTTCCAGGATTCGGCAAAGGAAAATCGGGTAAACCTAAAAAAGAAGGACTAGAAATGGAAGGTACAATATCTAGGACAGTTTCTTTGGAAAAATTTGAATGTGGCTCTTGGTCTTCTTCCAAACTATTCAATGATATTGAAACAGATCACACAAGTTCTTACTTTGATCTTCCATTGGAATTGATCAATGGAAATAATACTAATGATGTACATTTACCTATTACATCAACATTTGTTTTTGAGAAGAATCTTAAAGGGGTTCTTAAGAATGGTTCTTCTAAACCAAATGGTAGAAAATCAGATACATCGCCACATCAAGTTAGATTTTCTATGTCTTCCTCTACATCTCGTTATCCTCCTCCTTCTCCTCCGATATCGTGCAATACTCCTAGTTTAATAAACGCAAAAGATGATTTTAATGCGTTCTTAGAAGCAAATACTACATGAAGAGGATCCAAATCACCTACTTAGGTTGAGTATGATTGAATCACTTCAATAGAAAGTGGAGTTAGAAAAAAAAACACATACTTTGTTTGTTGTTCTGCCACTTTTTAACATGAACTACATGTTTATTGATTAATTTGCAAGGGAAATGCATCGGAGGTTTTTGTCTGATGATATAAATGATTGCATAAATCTTCTCATATGGCAAAAAGTGTATTATTCAAATAAAAAAATTGTCTTATTATTAAGTTTTCCTATTACACAAGTTAAATTCATACATTTTAGTTAAATATTTGAGAATTTGTTATGATTTTGGGATATTAAAATTTGTAATGAGATAACTTCACTAGATCCTTACAAGGAAGGTTCAGAAATGTAAGATGCAACTCCGTTGTTTCAACCGGACGTCTAGTGTGAGAGGAATTAACATATCAACCTCTCTTATATATATGGTATTCCCTCAAATGGTTTAAAAAGATTAAATTATCCAAACTCAAATATTTTTGAGAAATTCAAAATTTTTGTGACCAATCCAATCCCTCCAAATGGAGATACCAGAAATTTCAAGGCGATACTGAAAATTTAGTGAGATGGTAAGAAATTTATGATATAATTGCGAAATATCCGGTATTATGTACCAGAATTTTCAAAAATTTCGATATTTTCGTACCGGAATTTTTGAAATTTCCAGTATAAACATTTTCCTTTTGTATCGGAAATTTCAAAATTTTCGGGGCTTTACAGGATACCGGAACTTTTGAAATTTCTGGTAATTCAATTTTAAAAATTCAAATTGTCACGTAAATTTGAAATTTTCGATTTACCAGAAATTTCAAATGCACTACTAGAAATTTATTCTTACCGAAAATTTGGTAGGGGTGTACCAGAAATTTCAACTCTTGTACTAGAAATTTCCGATAGTTTTTCAAAATTTTCAATTTTTTTTCAAGAAATTTCGAAATATAATGAAATTTCGAGTACGGTACCAGAAATTTCGAAATTTTCGGTACTGTATTGGAAATGTCGAAATTTCCAGTAGTGTAAAAAAAAAAAAAATTTCCACAAAAAGTGCAGTACCAGATTTTTCAAAAAATCCGATATTTTTTCGAAAAATCCGGTACTTTTCTGAAAATTCCGAATTTTTCTTCTGGAAATTTCAAAAAAACCGATTTTTTTTTGAAATTTTTGGTACCCCCCAAAATTCCGATAAAAATTATGTTTTTTTGAAATTTAGCGATTATTCTCAAGGATATAATGGTAAACGCATAAGTGATGGGGGTGACATGTATAAGTGAGAGGGTGACATGTTAATTCCTTGGAAGGTAGGTAGCTCAATATGCAACGAGGCCACTTAGATTTGGGGGACAAACCGCCCATTTGGGCTTGGACCACCCAAGTCAACTCTCATTACCCATTTACTTAGTAAACGTAGGAGACGACATGTCCAAGTTGCAGCCGCTTAAAGCTCAGTCAAGGAAGGATAACTACCTCTCTGGATTCTAGGAAGACCGAATCCCATCTAGGCCATGTTTCTCTGTCGTGGAGCTAGGACAGACAACTCTCTAACCTAGACCCAAATAGCCTATATAAGTGACCAATCTAGAGGGTTAAAGAGAGGCCAATTCAGATCTATTATTTTACTAGAATATCATACTTAGAGATTCTCACCTCTCTGTGTGAGCTAATCCTAACCATTGTCAAAATACCCTATACACCACAGGCAACCATATAAATACAAGGATACCCTTATTGTATTTTTTTAAGCAAGTGTAATCAATGTCCAGTACATGCTCTGATAAAACTCACATAGGCCACCTTCTTATCTAACGATCAACTCGATGTCTGCCTCTTCAATTCCTTCCAATATGGTGAACAAGAAAACAATGACTTCAACTCTAGATGCGACCATGAAGTCATAGCTAAGATGCGCACCGCTATGGATGATTTGTGTCATCATAATCAAACTTTAGAAGACAATATTCTTAACTTCCAGTAGTGCCAGTAGGAGGTCGATCCCATTGAGGAGACAAAAAGTTCTAATCTACCATCACCCACAAGATTAAATGGAAGATGCGACCCCCCGACGCATGTCACCTCCATTAACATGCAAATGGTAATCATTGAAGCCTAAAATTCCCTTAAATACAAGCTCATTTTCAACACCTTCAAGGACGCCATGTTAAGGTGGTACATGAGCATGCTGCGACTCTAAGTCACTAGGTACCTTGACCTAGTAAAGAAGTTGGTCCACTAATTCTCAGTAAGCAGACACGTGAAGAAATCAACCGCCATCATGTTTGATATTCGCCAGGGCCATTCAGAATTCTTGAGGGAGTATCTCGCCCACTTTAATCAAGCGACCATCAAAGTCATCCGTCCAAAACAGAAGATATCCGTAAGAGCCTTCTAGTATGCACTGAGGGCCAAACATTTTAATGAATCCCTCGCCCAGAGACTTGCCATTTCCATGGAGGAAGTGGCGACACACGATGAATGTTACATAAAAGACGAGGAGAGAAACACAGAAAAGGCTAGGATGCCAAAGAACACAAGCCAACAATCACAATTCTTTGCAGCAGCAACACATAATCCATTTTACCCCGCCCGTCAAGGACAGGGCGACAACCTTAAAACAGAGAGGTAGGATTACAAAGAACTTCACACCCTTGAACAATCGCTTCAAACAAATATGGCGTGAATTTATTCACACACATGATATTGTTCTTCCTCTATCCCCAAAATTAGCCATTATGGGACCTTAACCCAGCAGGTGGTGCAAATTTTATAAGGTTAAAGCACACCACATAGAAGACTACTATGAGCTGAAAAAGAGATCGAACACCTCATTCGAGAGAGTTACTTGAATAAATACGTTCAAGGAAGATCCCATCAGTTACCTTGAGGCTCTAGATCTCAAGGGTGAGATCCTCCTTGAAGCCCTAATTTTATTGAATAAGCGCTTTCTAAAGGCCGCTATAGGAAGCGCTTTCTAAAGGCCCCTATAGGAAACGCTTTTAACATTGTAAGCACTTTATGTTCTTTTCACCCTTTCCTTTGTTGGATAAAAGAAAAGATGGTGGCAACTCTTGCTTACTGTG